CGCAGTGGCTCACACCTGTAATCCCAGCACTTTGGGAGGCCAAGGCGGGCAGATCACTTGAGGTCAGGAGTTCGAGACCAGCCTGGTCAATATGGTGAAAACCCGTCTCTATTAAAAATACAAAGATTAGGCTGGGTGCGGTAGCTCAAGCCTGTAATCCTAGCACTTTGGGAGGCTGAGGCGGGCAGATCACGAGGTCAGGAGTTTGAGACCAGCGTGACCAGCATGGTGAAACCTCATCTCTACTAAAAATACAAAAAAATTAGCCGGACATGGTGGCATGCACCTGTAGTCCCAGCTACTCAAGAGGCTGAGGCAAGGGAATTGCTTGAACCTGGTGGGCAGAGGTTGCAGTGAGCCGAGGTCATGCCACTGCACTCCAGCCTGGGCGACAGAGTGAGACTCTGTCTCAAAAAAAAAAAAAAAAAAAAAATTCAACTCAATATGGATCAGAGACTTAAATCTAAGACCTGAAACCAAAAAATTCTAGAAGATAACCTAGGAAAAACTCTTCAGGACATTGGTCTAGGTAGTGGTATGTATACCATTATCATGGAATATTACTCAGCCATAAGAAAAAAATGAAATAATGTCTTTTGCAACAACTTGGACGGAGCTGGAGGCCATTATTCCAAGTGAAGTAACTCAGGAATGAAAAATCAAATGCCGTCTGTTCTCACTTTTAAGTGGGAGCTAAGCTATGGATGCGTAAAGGCATACGGAGATCATGGACTATGATGTCATGGAGGCAGAGAGTAGAACAATAGTTATGAGAGCCCTAGAAGGGTGCATGGGTGGGTAGGTGGGGAATGAAGAGCTCTATCTAACAAATATACAGTTAGATAGAAGGAGTAGTTCTTATGTTTAATAGCAGAGTAGGGTGACTATAGTTAACAGTAACATATTGTAGTGGTGGCTTATGCCTGTAATCCCAACAATTTGGGAGGCTGAGACAGGCAGATTGCTTGAGCCTAGGAGTTTGAGGCCAGCCTGAGCAACATGGTGAAACCCCATCTCTATCAAAAAAAAAGTACAAAAATTAAGTGGTGGTGCACACCTGTAGTCCCAAGTTGCTCAGGAGGCTGAAGTGGGAGGATTGCTTGAGCTTGGGGAGATCAAAGCTGCAGTGAGTCATGATCACACCACTGCCCTCCAGTCTGGGTGACTGAGTAACCCTGTTTTTTTTGTTTGTTTTTTTTTTGAGATGGAGTCTCACTCTGTCACCCAGGCTGGAGGGCAGTGGTGCGATCTCAGCTCACTGCAAGCTCCGCCTCCCAGGTTTACGCCACTCTCCCGCCTCAGCCTCCTGAGTAGCTGGGACTATAGGCGCCTGCCACCACACCTGGCTATTTTTTTTGTATTTTTAATAGAGACAGGGTTTCATTGTGTTAGCCAGGATGGCCTTGATCTCCTGACCTCGTGATCCGCCCGCCTTGGCCTCCCAAAGTGCTGGGATTACAGGCATGAGCCACCGCACCCGGCCTCAGAGTGACCCTGTCTTAAAAATAAACAAATAAATAAATAACATATTGTATTTTTCAAAATAGCTAGAAAAGAGGATTTGAAATGTTCCCAACATATAGAAATAATACATGTTTGAAGTGACAGATATTCAAATACCATGACTTGATTATACCATATTATGTGCATGGCACAAAATATCACATATACTCCATAAATATGTACAAATATCACATATTAATAAAAATAATTTTTAAAAATCAACAAACCAGGGCTGGGCACAGTGGCTCACACCTGTAATCCCAGCACTTTAGGAGGCCGAGGCGGGTGGATCACCTGAGGTCAGAAGTTCAAGACCAGCCTGGTCAACATGGTGAAACCCCATCTCTACTAAATATACAAAAAATTAGCCGGGCGTGGTGGCAGGCACCAGTAATCCCAGCTACTCAGGAGGCTGAGGCAGGAGAATCGCTTGACCCTGAGAGGTGGAGGTTGTAGTGAGCCAAGATCATGCCATTGTGTTCCAGCCTGGGCAATAAGAGTGAAACTTCATCTTAAAAAAAAAAAAAAAATCAACAAGCCAGACACAGTTGCTCACGCCTGTAAATGCTAGAACTTTGGGAGGCTGGGCAGGCAGATCACCTGAGGTCAGGAGTTCGAGACCAGCCTGCTCAACATGATGAAAGTCCATCTC